GGTTCCAACAATGTTTTTGTGCCGCCCCCTCAACTCCTGGTTCATGGTGCAGTGACCTGCGAGACGGCCGCACTCCACAGCACCCACACAGACCTGACACCTCCAGATTGTGAGATGTATGCCAAGAGGGAAAATGTGGAGTTCTTCTGGGTTGGCGACTCCGCAGGCATATCGGTGTGCCGCCTCTACGCCGCCTGTGACGTTCTCCAGCTGGAGGTGGGTGCAGAAGGCCAGCTCTTTGGCCTCAGTTATCAGGAGGCCTGCATGGTGGCCAACCCTGAAGAATGCTGGAACGAGAAGCGTCGCTTGTTCTTGACAGGCTTTCGCACACAGGTTCATGGTGGGACGGCAGCACTAGCCACGCAAAGTGGCGAGGTGCCCTGCCTCTTCGAGAAGCAGCTTGAGCAGTGTCACCGGCTGCAGCGTTTGCAGATGCCCGGCGTGGAGAACTGCGATATCTGCCGCTTCGCCTCAAAAGAGTACCTCTCGGAACGGCTGCCGCTCGCCTCCAGCTTCCCCTCTGGGACGCACCTCTCTGCCACCTGCCACCCAGATCTCTACCATTCTTTCGTGGGTTCGACTGCGCGTGCGTCAGGCCTAGAGCTAACCTGTGTCAATGGCAACTGGGTCGAAGAGGGAGGCACACTGTCTATGATCAAGCTTGGCTGCCAGATTGGACTGCAAGTCACGGCCACGGAGCCTTCGAGCTACATGGACTACGACCGAAGCTCACGTGGCGAGGAGTGGTTCGAAGCTCACTATGGCAAGACTTTGCGCTCCTGGGATGGCTTATGTCTGGCACCTGACCATTGGGCAGGCGCGGGGCAGAGAATCAGAAAATCGGTCTTGAGTCTTGCTCTTGAGTCTCGGTGCTCTCCAGGTGAAGCTGCGGAAGCTAACGCTGCCCGGCTGCAGACAGAAAGACTGGAGATTCTGCATGGTGTCAACGTAGAAGCAAACCAGGATGTGCCGCACCTTGTGTCCTTCGTGCACCTGGCATGGGGCAGGATAGGCCATGCGCAGCTGCAGGCGGGAAAGCGTAGAGAGCTTTGGGACTCCAGCACCCAGGA